ATCAAAGTGTGAGCCATTTAAAAGAGGTACATAGATATCTTAAATATTTTATTTAAATTTACAAAATATTGGGATAGGGATATAGCCCAGTTGGTAGAGTGCAAGCCCAGCATGCACAAAGCCTTGGGTTTGATCCCCAGCACTGCATGAACCAGGTGTGATGGTGCATGCCCATAATCCCAGCACCCTGGAAGTAGAGACAAGAGGATTAGAAGTTCAAGGTCATCCTTTGCTACATAGTGAGTTCAAAATAAGTAATTTTATAAATTGTGAATGGGACTAATTCAGCTCTCTATCCCTGTCTCTCTCTGTCTCTGTCTCTGTCTCTGTCTCTCTCTCTCTCTCTCACACACACACACACACACACACACACACACACACACGCTGAGACTTGAAGCCAGGGCCTGCCTTATGCAGACTAAGTACAAGGGCCTTGTGGATACTGTAGCGTTGAGCCCTAATTTAACAATCTTTTAATAAAGAATCAAAGTTTTCCCATCTAGTCACCTGATTATCCAGTATTTTTGCTTTTGCTTTTTTGTGTTTTATTTTTAATGAGTGAAGCAGTCAAACTAGCCAACTAAAATGAACCAGTATATGATATTAGAGGGAAATGGAGCTGGGAACTTTATAATAATAAGCAAATGAAAAATCATGGAATAACGTGTTTGTTGCGTTGTTCTGTTCAAGGAAAAGCAAACAGGGCAACACCCCTGGAAATTGGCATAAACATGGAGAAAAACACAGAAGACTGTTGACATAAGTAAACCCAGGATAAATACTGAGTGGATCATGGCCAGGGAAGAGAAAAATGATTAGCTTTGTCTGTAGATATCTTTTATTATAATGAATTATCACAAAAGCATGTTGTCCATCTATACACGCCATGGGTATTAAGATCACTGGCAAATGAAATCTACAGCAAAATTATCAGAATCAACATAAGGATTTAATAGGATTGCTGGATGAAAAGCCAAAGCTCACTGTATTTCTAAGTACAAGCAATAAACTACAAAGTACTCAAGAATAAATCCAACAGAAAATATGCAAGACTTGCATGGAGATAGTTTAATAAATTTTATTAAATGTCACTAAAGAAAAATTGGTATCTGGAGAGATAAACCATCTTCTTATGCAGGGAAAATTCAATTAAAAAATCAATTCTCAGCTGTGTGAAGTGGCACACCTGTAACCCTAAGTACTTCTGATGTAGAGGAAGAAAAACCAGGAGGAATTCAAGTCATCTTCAGCTACATAGCAAGTTCCAGGCCAGCTGTAATAGGAGAAACCCTATATCAAAACAAGCAAACAAACTAGGGGCCAGAGAGATGGCTCAACAGTTAAGTGCACTTGCTGCTCTTCCAGAGGTCCCAAATTCAGTTCTAATGCCCATTTTAGGAGGCTCACAACCACCTGTAACTTCAGTTCCAACACCGCTTCTGGCTCCTTTGGCACCCCCAGGCATGTGGTACACAAACATGCACACAGGCACACACACATATACATAAATAAAAGTGAATCTTTTTTAGAAACCAAACAAACAAGTAAATACATAAATTAAAATGATATCAGTTCTCATGAATTGGATCCACAGCTACAATGCAGGTAAGGTATTGGTAGAATAGACAAAACATGGAACAGAACAGAAAGCCCAGAAGCAAGACTACAGATGTGGAAAACTGACTTGTGACCAAGGTTCATAAATCAGCTGAAAAGAATTGTCTTGCCCAAAGTCCTGTACCCAACCTGAGGTGGCTTGCATTCATTGACTGGTCACATAGCATAACAGCACCTCAAACAGGAACACTCTGAAGGACCTTCAATCAGAGCTCCTTGGGGAGGGAGCTGAGACATTCCTTGCATTACTGCTCCAAGGATCCTTCTGTCCAGTGTGCATTCCCTTCCCCTCCATTGCTAGTGATCTGAATGATGTTCTGTGATGAACTTCTAGCAAATTAAGATCTGAGTCCACTTCCCTGAGGGAACTCAGTTTGTGGGGATCTAAGATGGCAGGAGCACTTTATAAAAAGCTGAAAGTGGGTATGCCTTACAACTCACAATCCAGGCCTCAGTATATAGTCTAGAAAAATTTTCACACTAAATTCACAGTAAGAGTTCATCTTGGGGGTCAGAGGTGCATCAGGATACAAGGACATCAAAGTTTCAAAAGTACTGGCAAAACTAAATACCTTTAGTATTACTTATTCCTCCCCAGACACTCGCCTCTCCCTCCCGTTTCTCACCCCATGTAACCCTTCCTACTCCGATGGTCCCCTTAGCCCTTTCATATCACTGCATTCCATCACCCCTTTCAGAAACCTCCTCCTCCTCCACCTATAGCCATTTATTAGTTTTTTGACCTTGCTGGATTTTTAAAAAATATTTTATTATTTTTATTTTACGTGTACGAGTATATTGTCTGCATGTATGTGAGTGCACCCATTCGTGCAGTGCCAAGGAAGTCAGAAGAGGGCTTCAGGTTCCCCTGGAACTGGAGTTAAGGACAGTTCATAGCTGCTGTGTAGGTACTGGGAATCAAACCCGGGTCCTCTGCAAGAGCAGTCAGTGCTCTTAACCGCTGAGCCATCTCTCCAGCCCCCCTTGCTGGATTTTTAAATTGAAACATGCATATCTAAGATTTCAAAGCTAGCATCTAGTTATGAGAGAACATGCAACCTTTGTCTTGCTGGGTCTGGGTTATCTCACTCAGGATAATTTTTCCAATTCCATTCATTTATCTATGAATTTCATAATTTTTTTTTTTTTTGTCTTTTTGAGACAGGGTCTCCCTATAGCCCTAGCTGGCCTGGAACTCACTATGTAGATCACTTGAACTCACAGAAATCTGCCTGCCTCTACCTCCCAAGTGCTGGGATTAAAGTGTGTGCCACCATGCCCGGCCATAATTCATTTTTTAAGAACTGAATATTCTGTTGTGTATATGGACCACACCTTCACTATCCATTCATCAGTAGACAGACATTTAGTTTGTTTCCAATTCCTGGCTATTATGTAAAGGTCAGCAATGAACATAGATGAGCATGTATTTGTGTAGTTGAGTATAAAGTCTTCTGTGCATATGCCCAAGAGTGGTATGGCTGGGTCACATAGTAGATCAACTTCGAGCTTTTTGAGAAATCTCCACACTGATTTCCATAGTCGCTGCACCAGTTTGCACTGCTATCAGGTGGAGAAGAGTTCTCTTTTCTCCACATCTTTGCCAGCATTTGTTGTTGTTATTTGTTTGTTTTAGATCTTAGCCATTCTAAGTGGGGTAAGATGAAATCTCAAAATGGTTTCAATCTGCATTTCCCTGATGACTAAAGATACTGAATATTCTTGAAACCAAGCAAAACCTTTGCAGAGCAGGCAGAACTCATGCAAGTGAACAGAAGGAATTTTGCTACAGATAACAGTGGATCTGGAAAGCCAATTAAAATGATACACATTTGCCATGCATGGTGGCACATGCCTATAATCTCAGCATGTGAGACGTTGGGGCAGGAGGATCAAGAATTTGAGACCAGCCTGGACTATGTAGCAAGAACTTGTCTCAAGAAATCAAAATAGCAATAATAATAAATCCTTTAAAAAATGATACACACACACACACACACACACACACACACACACACACACACAAGGGGAGGGCTGGAGAGATGGCTCAGCGGTTCAGAGCACTAGCTGCTCTTGCAGAGGACCTGGGTTCGATTTCCAGCACCCTCATGGTGGCTAACAACCATCCATAGGTCCAGTTCCAGGGGATCAGCACCTTCTGATCATGGACACCGCATGACACAGGAGCATTTACAAACATGTAGGCAATACACTCATATACAGAAAATAAAATTAACAAAAAATTTTTTTTTAATATTTTATTATTTTTATTTTATGTGTATGAGTGTATTGCCTGCATGTAAGTAAGTGCACCTGTGCAATGCTGGTGGAAGACAGATGAGGCTGTTGGATCCCCTGGAACTGGAGTTACAGACAGTTGTTAGCTGCTATGTGTGTCATGCAATGCCTTGGAGGTCAGAAGAGGGCTTCAGATTCCCCTGGAACTGGAGTTAAGGACAGTTCATAGCTGCCATGTGGGTGCTGGGAATTGAACCCAGGTCTTCTGCAAGAGCAGTCAGTGCTCTTAACCCCTGAGCCATCTCTCCAGGCCCAGCAAATAAAATATTTTTTAAATGATACACTCTGATCCATTGGAAATAATGATTTTAAGAAAAGGAGGAAAAGCATAAGAGAGATGCTTGAGGAAAGTGAACCAGCAGCGGTTCCTGTCCCTGGGAGCTCTACTTTCACCTTTATAATCATGTGCTCTCATACTGACTGAAACAACAAAAATTTATTTTAATAAATGGCATTGACAAGTAGGACCAGCTAGCCTGGAACAATCTCTAAACTTAAACCCTGGACTGTTATTTGAGTGTTCAGTTTGGTGCTGGTCTCTGATGACCATAGTGTGTTCTCAGATGCAGCTGTTGTTTCTGACAGAGTTGTTGTCTTTGCATGCTAAAATGGTTAGTGCTATCCTTAAATGACTACACAGAGTGCCACAATGTCCTGATTACAATAACATCTATGTCTGATCTCAGACAAGCCAGCTTTGTGTTCAAGGATCTAAAGATTGCAATTAGCGTTCCCATCCTGCCATTCTGTTCTGTGTACTCTGCCAGTGACACCTTATTTTTGTCTCCAAGCTGAAAGCTATGCAGGTAACAGACAAAGCCTGGAATCCTAAAAAGGTTCACTATTGGTTTTGTTTTGAGTGCCTCCTACCTCCTTGTGGGACACTTGATTGAAACATGATGGGAGTCTGAGGTTTCAGCTTACTTCCTCCATGAAAACTGCTTCCCCTCTGTTTCTGTGGCCTCAGATGGTATTTCTAAGCATTGCTTTGGCTCCTTTCACAAAACAGGGCCTCACAACAATCCCCGCCTCTAGTTTAATCCTGTTGTTCAATCTGCTGCCAATCCTGTTCTTGAGCCAGGGGAATCACAGACCCAGGCTGCTTAGCAAATCCTGCTTGTATACGGCCTTCTCTGTGCTCAAGTCTGTTTAGCCCTGGTAAGTTACCCTTGCCTGGTCCCTGTAGGTCCCCAGCCCTCTTTTCTTAGTGTTCCAGATCTGCCCACCTAACTTCCAAGTTTTGGAAAATGGAGTGAACCCTTGTATCCCTGGCCTGTGAGGAACTACGCTGTGTGTATGTGTTGCTGCCTCCACAGCACCTCTGCTTCTAGGGGAAATGTAAGATTGCCCCTCCCTACACTTCATTTCCTGAGGAAAAGGAGCTTGGTTGAAACTTGGCCAAGGCACTTGGCTTATACAATGTGTATGGGCTGGGGGCAGGTAGGAAGAGAAAAGAAATGAGTTTTTAAATGAGTAGTTTCCTAGCACTTGGGAGGCTGAGGCATTAGAATGGCAAGTTTGAGGCCAGCCTGGGCTATATCGTGAATTCTCAGCTAGCCCAGGAAACTTATCCAAACTCTGTTTTTAAAGAAGTACTGTTTTTATCCTACTTCTTTTTGAGGTATAATATGTATACATAGTCTATAAATTTTAAATGAATAGTTTAATGAATTTTTACATATTGAATAGATCCAGATCATTCCTACACAGGTTTTTTGTTTGTTTGGTTGGTTTTTTTTGGTCTTTTTGAGACAGGGTTTCCCTGTAACCCAGCTGGTATTAAAGGCGTATACCACCACACCTGGCTTTCTTCACAGTTCTTGAATGAATCCTCTTTCTGTGTCTCTTTTCTCTTGCTCATCAACACGAAATTCACTAATGCTGTATTAGGTTATTTTTTTCAAAATATTTTATTATTTTGATTTTATGTGCATGTGTGTTTTGCCTGCATGTATGTAAGTGTATCCATGTCATGCAATGCCCATGGAGGTCAGAAGAGAACGTCAGATCTAGAACTGGAGTTATGGACAGTTGTTAGCTGCCATGTGGGTGCTGGGATTCGAACCCAGGTATTCTGCAAGAACATTCAGTATTCTTAACCACTGAGCCATCTCTCCAGCCCCTATTTTTGTTTTTTAAAAAATGCAGGATCTTGTTCATTAGCCTAGGCTAGCTTCAAACTCCTGATCTTCCTGCCTCAGTCTCTCAAATGGGGTTATAGGCTTAAGCCACCAGACCTGGCAAAAGTCTCACTCAGACTATTTGCCTCCCAACTCACTTTTCTTTCAGCTGGTTGCTTTCCTTTCGTTTATCTTTCCTTGGCTGACCTCATCATATGAGTAATAGAATCAAGATTCAGTCTCCGGCCTAGAGAGAGGGCTTGTTTTCAGGCCAGGTCCTAGGTCAGGAGCAAGGAAGTCCCCATGGCTCCTGTACAATCTAGTCCAGCTGTACAGTTTAAGAGTTCATGTTGGCTTTAGGACCAAAGATAAACAGTGAATTTCCTGGTGTTGCTGTAGGGTCACTGGTGACTAGGCTTTCCATTTTCCTTCTATAATGCTGTGTTTCTTATATCTTCTGGCATCTTCCTTGTTACATTCCTCCTCTGAACATGATACTGGCCTAGACAAGTTTCCACCTGACCGTATGATCTTCTGTGAAAGTCTAATTATAGATCCTGCTAATTCCTAATCTGTGCATTGCTTTTACTCCTGACCAAGGAGTAAAAGAGTAAAGCTGAGAAGACAGATGAACAATTATTCTTCAAAAGTAAGCCCTATCAATGTACCATGGGCACCCTTATTTGGACATAGGAAAACATATTAACTTCATGTAGAATTTATTAACTCTGTTGCTAGCCCTCCAAAGACATATTAGCTTGCTGACACTGTTCTTTTTCCATGTAAGTAATGATATCCTGGTATAAAGTGTTTAATCCATTCCACCCTGAGCATTTAAACACAGATAGCTAATATAATTTTAGTCACTTCCATTTTATAGGATTTGAGCCCACTCGTTCCTCTGTCTGACCTCTGAATCCACACCCTCTCCAAAGCAGGGCAGAGTGAAGAATTCTTGAGTCTTCTGTCTTCCCCATTGATCCTTCAGGGTTTCATGTTGTTTGCAGTGCTGTGGGTCAAACTGACATTTGCTACATGTGGGAGGCAAGTGCTCTGCCCCTGAGGTACATTTGCAGCCCCCCAAAATAGACTTCATCCTAAAACCTCTGTTGGATGAACCCTATTCTCTCCTAATGGCCTGATTTCTCTACCTAGTTAACAACCTGCTGTTCATTTAACTATCTTCTTCTGGAAAGATCTATGGTTCCTCAGCTACATCTCTAGAGAAAAAAATGTATTCTGTATCTCCTGGGAGACTCCAGTTCTTGCTGGATTCTGTGGCTTTGTTTCCAAGGCTCTTGCCTGCTGCCTTGCTCTCCACAATCGTCCTGGCACCTGATGCTGTCGCAGGCATTTTAGGAAGAACAAGGCTTGCCGATATCCAAGTTTCAGTTTCTCATCTATCTTCCTCATTATTCCAGCCTTCCTGGGGTAGTGCAATATTTTCTCTCTCACTGACACCTGGGCCTAGCATTGTGCCTGGTGCTCAGCACTTGGCGATGAATGACAACTGCCTTGTCAGCAGGAAGCACTTGACTTCTAGGACTTTAGCCAACAAAGTTGCAGGACTCATTCACCCTTGACTTCTGCCTGGAAAATCTGCCACTGCTGCACTCCTGATCGCCGTTTACCACTTGATTCACACCCAGACTCAAAAGAAAGTAAATCCCAATGTACTCAGTAGAACTTTCTTTGCCACAGAACCAAATATAGCAGTAGCCTAATAAAGGTCTTCATTTTTTTTCATAAAGAACTTAGACCTTCAAGAATGAGTCATATGAGATGCCTCATTTGACTCTGTCCTTCCCGTATTTCATCACTAGTCAATGACATAGTTTGAGAACTGATTATTCTCCAGGACCTGGGAACACAAAGGTTAGTGAGGAAAAGATCCTTGGCTTAGAGAGTGAGACTAATAATTCAGAGACAGACTAACATACTGACATTCATGGCAACTCAGCATGATGTTGTGACTGCTGTATTGAATAAATTTAGAGCGATGCTGGCAAGATGGGGTAAGAGCCCAACTATGCTCAGGGAATCCATAGAGCCCACGGATATCACTAACAAACTGGCAGCTGAAAGGAAATCCGTAAGTGCAGGATTCTCTCTACAGTATTCATGGTTTGGGTGCCTTGGGGAGCACCCCCCGGAAACAGAGCTTAGTGTTTGGGGTGTTTATTAGCAAAAGAGGATCAGACAGAGGGCAAAGCCAAGCTGTGTTGCAGGCATGGCAAATGTAGCCAATTTCCCAGAGTGCCCTAGAGCTGAAACACCCTTCAGTGGCCCCATTTCAGGCCAGAATAGTCAGACCTGCTGTTTTCTCACCAGTTATCCTTGGAGGCTGGCTACCTCTAGAAGGATGTGAACTAGGCAATTTCTATAAGCCCTCCAAGCGCTGAGAAAGCACATCCTTCCATCTTGAAAAATGTGGGCAGCAAATCTCTATGTTCATAGACTATCTATGTAGTACTTAGATTTGCTGCTTTACAAAGCCTCTTCTTTCACATGTGTGTCTATGTATGTGCAAGTGCATGTGGGGGCCAGAGGGCAGCTTTGAGTATTGTTTTGTGGTTTTTTTCTGGCTTTGTTTTTGTTTTGAGACATGGTCTTTCACTGGCCTGGAATCCACCAAGTGGGCTAGGTAGGCTGGCTAGTCAATGAGTCTCAGATATCTAGCTGCCTGTATCTATTTCCCTAGGGCCACCATGACTGGCTCTTTCTTTGCATGGGTTCTAGGGATTGAACTCAGGTCCTTATGTTTGCACAGCATTTACCAACTATGCCGTCTCTCCAGACTGGGTTTTTTTTTCTTAGAGGGAAAAGGCTAGAAGAAAAAAACTATACTCCCTACTATTGAGACTGATCTTGGGGTTACAACTGATATTCGGTTTATGTCTTCACTGTTTTGAGTCCCCCAGCTAGCATCTCTACTGGTCTGGGTGATTTAGCAGATACCATGACATAAGCTTATTCCTGAAGAGACTGAGCTCTTGGACTCCGTGCCCGTCTCACACTACAGATCCTTTTGCAGTCATTTCCATCATAGTTTGGCAAGGGTATAACAAGCAGTGCCCAAGAAGATCATTCTGGCTCCATGGCAGATGCTATCTCTCCCTCTTGGTACTAGCAGTCCCATCTCTCTTGTGATCAGGGTTGATTCTCTTTGGCCTTCTAACTCCCCTTCCTGTGTGCTCACGATTCTTTAATCACAGGGAGCTTGAAGTTCAAGGCAACCTGCTTATGATTCAATGGGATTCTTATTATGCTCCACAGGGGGAAGTGCTCCCCTCTGAAGATCAGAATCCTTAACCCTGCATTGCTTAATGTAATGGTTACTGGCAGCAGAAGTCCCCTGTTGAGAGTGAGGGCAAGTGGACTCATTCCTGCTTTGATCCTGTGGTTCTTGGTCCCGTCCATGACTTCTTCCACCTCAGAGGATGATGTTCTTCCTTATATAGCATTGACCCTAATCTGATGCTTCAGCATATTTTTAACAAACTAGCCCAACTCCCTGCTTGGCTAGTAGCTTCTGGCTGTGTGGTAACACCAGGAGAATCATGGGCCTAGTGGGTAAAGTAAGCTCCTGAACTGATGGATATTGGGTGGGTTTCAATGTCAATGGATCAAATACCTCATGAACTCCTGGATAGTAAGACTGGCAGAGGCTCTAGTAGGCAGGAAAAGCTGACATATAACCAGAATATTCGTCTATTACTGTCAGAAAAAAAAAATTGATTACAAGGACCCATTGTATTTAGCTGCTCACCAAGGGGCTGTTTGGTCTCTTTGGGAGGGTTATTTGTGGCTGTGGTGACTGAATAGTCTGTATCTTTCACCGTAGCACTATTTTTTGTGCCCAACATGACAGAAACGTGGTGGTTGGTGATAATGGCTAGCTGACATTAACCAGCTGTGTTGTTTGGTTTTTAGTTTATCCTTTATGGTGGATTAGTCCTAATGCTAACCCTAGAACCTAAAACTGATGGTGTTAATGTGTGATACAACCTATGGTCACTCTCACATGTCCCTACACAA